GTTTTAATTACATATACATATATATATATATGTATATATAAACTGAACTAAATCTGTTTTGCTATTCACTTTATATACTTTCATATTAATGTAACTAAATGAATTTTAAAAGTGGAAAAAATCTAACATACCTGGTGGCACTTCCTAAACTATTTGAACCCGTACCAGCCAATTTAGGTCTTTGAATATTTTCATTTAATATACGCTCAATACGTTCAATTTCCTCTTGTGAGGGTCCTTCAGCTTTATTAGATGCTTCATCGCGTGGTTTAACCACATAACCACCTTGGGTGGCTTTATAAAGATTTAAACTTTGTGAAGGGTCAATGGAACTATAAATGAAATTTTTATTGATGGTAAAGTGATTTTTTAAATGTGTAAAGCGTTTTTCTATAATTCATACCTGACACGACCAGGAGCGGAATTACTTTTGGCCGAATTCGATGGACTCGGTTTGGAGTACACCGAAGTGGAACTATTACCCAAAGAATGTGACATGCGATTTATCGAACCGCCCACAGCAGCCGTAGTGACAGGACGTGTTTTACTAGCAGACATTTGACTTAATGAAGTGCCCGACGCTGAAACAATTGTATTGCTAGAAGCGTGTACTGAAGAGCAGACAGAGGAAACATTACCGCCTAAGGCACTAATACTACTAAATCCGCCAAGAGACAAGGCCGTATTCGCCGAAGTCGTAATACTGCCACCGCCATCAAGACTGCAACGTGCCATACGTGCATTTTGCAAAGAACTGGTCTCATTCCAGCTTTTCTCAATTTCTTTAAACCAAATCATCACTTAGTTTCTGTTGAACATCACGTACACTCTTGACGGATTTTGTATCACTATCTGTGTCCGTGTCGGCGGCGGGCAAACGCATGCCTTCATTCATATAAAAACTGCTCAGATGAACTAGTTGAACCTTTTTCGTGTCTTTTTTCTTGCGTCGAGGGGGTGCAATCGGTCCACTAGATGTTATCGAATCGGTTGTCTTCGAATGGGCTAACTTGGTGCTGGCTATAACATCTGGTTCTTGTAACATAACTTGATTTTCAAATGGCACTTGATTCATATTACTTATACCACCAACACCAATAGCGGATTGTTGTAAAGATTTACCGCTATTCGATTCGGTAAGACTAGACGGTACACTTGATGACTTTATATTAGCAAACGCATTTGCCGATACAGCTGCGACTGCAGCTGCTGGTGACGATGTTGATGATGACTGTGTCTGTTGTAAAAATTGCTGTTGTTGTTGTAACTGTAGTTGCTGTTGTATTTGTTGCTGATGCTGTTGTTGTTGTTGCAATTGTTGTTGTTGACTATTTGTATTAGCAAAATATTCACGATCAATACTCATGGCTGATGGATCAATACTACCAGCCAATATACGTCCAACACGACCTAAAGATGTTATACTTTGAACACTCATTGTGTCATTTTCCACTACCTTAAATGGATGCGTTGGGCGAGTATAAACTCCATCTGTGGAACTATTCTATTTGTGCCAATATACAATAAAATTAAATTAAAGAATAAGAAAAATAAATAAATAAACGTTATATAAACTACATGTGTGTATTATATTCTAAGAAGAAGAAAATACCTGAGAATCAGGTGTTAATGTATTTCCCGGATTTTCATCATCATCATTTTGCATGCCCTGACGTAATTCTCGAAAACGATCTCTAATATCTCTAGTAGTATTACTCTAAAGTCATTTCGTATCATGTTGATTGTTACACATTACAAATCAATTGCCATTTAATCGAATTGACATACAATGTTTTGTGGTAGTTTTGAGGGTGGTATTGGTGGTGGTATATAAAATGGGATAGACAGTCACAATGATGATTTACATGAAAAGAAAATTAATATATGTAAACAAAAAATACGCACTGCTTAAACAAATATTAAATATGAAAGGTAATTGATTTAAAATAATAAATATTAACGAAAATTTTATAAAACAAATATGTCATATGAGAAAAATTTATGATGCTATTCCAAGTTTTAAAGTTACACAGAATTTTTTTTTTAACAATTTTCATTTTTCGATTTTCATAAATTCCCAAATATTTGCTATACTTATATAGATTTTACTATCTATTTGAGAGTTATAAAAATACTAACAAATGTATAATAAATTTTGATAAAAAATCTTAATGAAATTTAGATGATTTTTGTTCGAATTGTTTTCTTTGATAATTTTTCTGTTTCTTTCTTCTTAATCAATAATTTATATTCGAGTTTGTCACACTCGGAACTATTTCTAGGGAAGTTAAGAAAGATAACGTATGGAACTTCTATAGAATACTTATGAAACCACATACATACATACTTTTCCAACAATTTTTTTTTTTTTTTTTTTTGATATTTCATATTTCTGATTCAATGGATAAACGGGGCTGCCCTAATTTACCGTCATACCATATAGGAATCTAGCTGCTGAACGCGATCTTTTATAATTTTCAATATTTCCGGTACATTCTTTGTCCAATTTCTTGTATCATTAGTAATGATTTAATGCATTTCCGATATCGATGAAAAAAAATATTATTTAAATTTTAATTGCAACCGATCTAGAACTAGTTAATTTATGATAAATTGTAAATCATATCCGGGGTAATTACGGTTATGATGTTAAATTACTCATTTTAGGTATAACATACATACATATATAATTACAAACCTATAATCACTTCCCAACTATGGTGTAGGGTATAAACATATATTATTACTGGCGCCCTTGAATTGTTGACATTAATGTTAGCTCATAAAATAATTTATCTATTATTACCTATATTGCGTATATACAAACATACATTGTACATTTGTACCTACATATATTCGTTTATAGGTATGCAGATATTTTATTTAGTGTATAAAAAACAGAACTATTACTTACAGTGACCTGCACTGGTTTGGTTCAACAAATACATCGGTTTTAGTGCCACGAGCACTTAGACTACTGCTTGGACTGCTCGTAGCTGGGGTAACTGTTCCAATGGGTGTGGCATCACTGTCGGATGATGCCTGCAGCCGTACTGCTGGTTCGGGAAAAATAAACTCTTGTGGTATTTGAGAGGCATTTGCCAAAGATTTGCGGCTAAATAAAAATTAGTCAAAAAGTTAATAATACAATTGATATGTATAAACAGACATTTATGTATATTAACAAAAAATTTACCTTAAAGTTGACAATCGATTGGGAGTAGAATCTCTGCATCAAAAAACTCCTCCGAACTATCTGAATCAGTTTCAGGTTATTCATTTTAATTTTTTGCCTTTTTCTATTTAAACAACATATAATTATTTCTTAATTTAGTAATCAATTACAAACTAATTTCAGACAACATTCGCGAAAGAAAAAAAATGAAAAAAATATACTTTTTTCGTTTTTGTTTTGTAATTCTATAATGGATGCTTGTTCTTGCCCAGTTGTTTTTTATGCTTTTTCGTATTTACGTCATTTGTTTTATATTGTATTCCACATATATTTTAATTATATTTTAATTTATTTATGTTAGCATGAATGTTTTTATTGGTTTTATACTTAATTGTAGGATATTAAACATTTCTTTTTATGAAAAATAAAAATTAAAGAAACAAGAAATACTATTTATCACTCTTTTTTGCACAGTAAAAATAAACGTCATACTAATGAAAGGGAAATTAATAATTATGCTTCTTCTTATTATTTTTGGCAGAAATATATGCAAATGTCATTGATAACAAATTTCAGGTTTCGGGTTATAGAAGAATTAATAAAAACGAAACGTTGCAGGAATAATATTCACTAATAACATTATATTTTAATATTTTTGAGTTATTTCGACCTCAATAAATTCGATCTTTTGTCGAAAAGTTAAAGTCGACTATATAGTTTTCAAAGCAAACAATTTAAAAGCAAACGTTTTGTATTTGCAAACCTGAAGCTGAAAACACCCTGGCAGTTTACTACCGGTACCGGTAAAATATCGTTGCCGCAAATATAATATGTTCTATCAAGGTTCAAATACAGGGCACAATTAGACTTACTTATTATGCCATGGTCCAAACACATACAATACTTTACGATGAACTGCGACTGACAGTTACTCAACGTAACAGAAGTGATGCCCAATCGTTGCGTTGATAAAGTGTTTTAATAATATAAAAAATATTCAATATCAAAACATATTTAATTTAAAAATTATGTTTTTCACAAATACGCAAATTAAAATTAAACACAACAAAACAAAAAAAATAATTTTTACAGTTTGTTTTTTTCTTTTCTCTTCATTTTCATATGCCAAAGTTGAATATTTTTATATTTTTGTACTTCGTGCACAAGTTTGACGTATTGATTATGACCGCTCTCATTTTTAAACACATACAGTAAACACCAGCTGTCAGTCGCAGTTCGTCGTTAAGTATTGTATGTGTTTGGACCCCTTCAGGGCTATCACACTTTCCGATCGGAATGATTTCAATTTTGTTGTTACTTTAATAGTTTTTATATCCATCAACTTCCTGAGAAGAGTATTTATAGATTTATCTTTCCCTTTGTAAATTCCACAATATAATTTTCCAACCGTATCAATGTACATACAGTGTCTCTCATAAGTATTCGAATTTAGGTATACTATGAAAAGAACTAAATTTAATAATACGTTTGTGTGCAAAATAAATAAATTAATTTGTAATATTGTTTAAAAAATCACGCTTTTTAAAAACTTGAAAAAATTACATTTACTTAAATTAATTTAGCCTTTTTTAAAAAAAGTCCACAAAATTACCTCACAAAAGTATACGAATTATTCCTGTATTTCATATTTGATCATATTATACGAAACCCAGATTTTATAATTGAATGGTTTTTATACTTAAAATTGTTTTAAGGGGTTACTATCAACCGTTGGTCCACAATTTTTGGGACTTGTACCATATTTTCATGTTATATCATTAAAATGGCGATTTTTGTCAATATTTGTAACTCTTTCTCCTTTTTTCTAAAGATAAAACCAAAATTTGATATTGGTACGAACGTTCCAAGATATATTATTGGGATTATTCTTCTGTCGCTAGTTCAATTTATTGCAACTTAAGTCCATTTTTATAATACTAGGGTCAAACATTTTCGGGGAAAGTTGTCTTGTATATATTCTTTTAGATATAAGCTTTTAACATTTTAAGTTTTCATTATATTGTGGAAGTGTGCAACTCCAAACCATGCCTTGAAGAAACACCTTTCAATATAGTATAATCATTATTTTTATAACCAATGGCTTCCAGAAGAAAAATTCCAAGAAGGAAAAAATTTGCAAATATGGTCAAAAATCGCCATTTTGATGATATTACATGAAAATATGCTACAAATGCCACAAAATTGTGGACCAAATGGACCAAAAATACATCCTTTCGGTTAATAGAAACCCCTTAAAACAATTTTAAGCAAAAAATTCGATTCTAAGTTTTGGGTTTCGAATAATATGGTCAAATATGAAATACAGGGAAAATTCGAATACTTTTGTGAGATAATTTTATGGACTTTTTATAAAAAAAGTTAAATTAATTTAAGTAAATTAATTTAACGAATCCGATTAAGACATGTACATTAGTCTGTCCGTTTCTGTAGGCCCCAGATGTTTTTGGGATCTAAATCTTTTATAGGGTAAACTAATTTGTTATAAATAAGATTTGCGTTATCCCTCTATCAAATCTTGTGTTGGTTATGGGCCTGTTCGGAAATGCATCACTGCGCTACATCTGATGCGTAGTACGTTCGGAAATGC